CCCCAAAACCCCAAAACCCCAAAACCCCATAACAGAAATAACTAAATAAAAATGAATAAAGGACCAAGACTATCAATTATCCCAAATAAAGGTCCAAATCCAGGCCAGACAACTACCTCACAACTCTCAATCCTTCCAGCTGCTACAAAACCCCGCTTATTCCCTCTTAACCTCACCCAAAATCCCTAAATTCTCTTCCTAATTATTTGATTTCCTCGAAACTCCTTCACTCTTAGCCCACCAGCTAAAACTTTACGTAGAAATATTTTAGACCTTAATGGACTATACAGCTATAGAGAAGAGAGGGAAATTGTAATTGATAGTGAAAGAATTGATTCAGAGGTTATAGTTAGTCAGATGTGAAACTGTTTTACGAGAAAAGTTGAGATTTTGAAGGAATTTTGATTGAAAAGCTATTTTTATCATTTTGGGACCCCAGAAGTTTTGCATTTCCGAGAAAGATATTGCAGCTAAAATTATTAAACATTCAGAACTTTGAGATTTGTGTGGGAGCTAGGAGAAAAAGCCACACTCATTCTTCTCTTGAAAGCTCATTTCCTTCTCAAGTAGCCAAACTACATTTCTATTTACTTTCCAGAAAATGAGTTACCATTTCTCTACATTTGAATCAGTTAGCTAAATTCAGCTGCAGAGTATCCAAGAAGGTGAGTCTGGATAATTTCCTGGTCAAAGCTCATCATCTAAAGAGGATTCTATGTGCATATAAGCATGTTGAAGTCCTGGAATTTTACTATTGTACAATTTTGATCCCTGGTAGACTAGATCTTTCCAACCTGAGGGAAAATTGTCAGATAAAGACACTTGATTTCTACTGTTGAGGTTCTACTAATAATAGTGACTGGAAAATCAACTTCATTCAATTTTGCAATCTGATCCAGGGACTCGGAACTTCCTCAGCACTAAAGCTTTCTCTAAAAACGATTGGTCTTGTATATTGTGAAGTGGCAGAAGAAGCTAGAGATATCTTGGACATGAATGGATTCAGCCAGATTCACGCTAAACTTTAGCTCCCTTTTAACAAAAATATCTTGATCCTCTTTTAAATCCAACCCATGAATTATTATTTTATGCCATATCATTCCACAAAATTATTTGCTCTACTTATCATATTATCATAAAAATCCTCCATCAACCTTCTATCCCCCCTAAGGGGTTTTGGGGTTTTGGGGTTTTGGGG